AGGTCTGGCTGACAGGCTGCACCTGGCCGAAAGCCACCCATGGGCTCCATGGCCAGGTGGGGACTAGAACCCGGATTGACTGAGTCCAGCCCTGCGCTCGTCACCCTTGGCCTCTTTGCTGATGACATCTCTCAGCTGTCCAGGGATGCCCAGCTGACTGACCTTTCTTTATGCCTCCCAGGTCCAGCGTCTGTCCGCCCTTGCGGGCAGCCGCCAGGAGAAAGCCCCCCTGCACGTCTCTCCACAGCTGACATCTGATTGTATGCTTTCTGTGACAGTGCCTCCCTTGGCCATTCCTACAGTGGCCCAGAAATCAATCCTGAGCGTGCCAGAGGACTTCATCCAGTAAACTCAGGGAACCAAGGCAGAGAAGCTACGCCGCTATTTCCCCTTGATTCGACAGTGAGACGGAAGCACGTGCAAATCCAGTCCCAGAACCGATCCGTGGGCTCTGCTGAGCCACATTCATGGCTCTGTTCTGGTCTAAGTGCCAAGCGCACCTTCAACAGAAGACCCTCCTCCCTTTAAACATCACCCCTGCCTCGGGGAAGAAGGATTTGGGGGAACAAATGGCAGGGACGGGCAAAGCATGGGAGTTAATCTGCCTGTCCTCACATACACTGGCCCTGATCCAAATCAAGGCTGTGCTTACTCTGTGCTTACTCTGGAGCAGGAAGGTCCGGGGGCGGGGTCAGCTCCGGGAACGTGATGCATCTAGTGTGTTGCTTGGCCCAGCTCTCCAGGACCTTCCTCCTTCGCCCTCCTTCGACTTTGTTCTGTGACCTTGGGCATGTGCCTTTATTCCCTGCCCTCTGTGTCACATTTTACAGTTCCCATCATCCTTTGCCCAGCAGAAACAAACTCCCCTAGTAACCAGCTTTCTGAAAATGACAAACCAGGCGTTGTTACCATGCCTCTCCCGAATAAAATGCTTGAATGCTTCTCCGTCAATAAGGGAGAAGGAGAGGGGAGAAAGGGGGACCAGAAAAGCCTCACTGGGTATTCTGGGGCCGTGAAAGGCGAGAGCATTGGGCTTGTCCCACGGGACTGACCCCGCTAAGAGGGACTCTGGAGTGTTGCAGACTGCACGCGGACGACAGCCTTCCAGAGAAGGGAGGGCTGCACCATCAGAGGTGGGGGTGTCGGAGCTAAAGGCCTGACTGTACCACCCAGCAGTGTGTGTTGACAGGCCTTGCAGTTCTTACATGGGATCGTGGGATGTCAGTATGAATCTGTGTGTGTGTGTGTGTGTGTGAGCAGAGCCCCAGACATTTTGTTGTCTGAGGCAAACACAAATTTCTCCTCCAGTTCCATGTATAGAATCTGACTAATGGGCAGGTGCATCTTTCTTCAAGTCTGGAGAGGGACAGCTGTGAAGAACCCTGGCCCTGGGCCTTCTGGGGTACAGCCAGTTCTGGAGAGGCATGGACTACTTCCTCAGGGGTGGGCACAGATTTGCTGTCACCTCTTGCTCACAGGATGAGTCCCCAGTGGAACCTTCCCAGCATCACTGAAGTCTCAGATAGGGCCTTTGAACAGTCCGGTCTGCTTCAGCACTGGTCATGCTGATCACATTGCAGAAGTCTTCAGCAGACTTTAGCTCACTGCTGAGACAACAGCTTCCTATGTTTCTTGGGGCTGTGTGCTGCAGCCAGGAGGCCCCCTTGCAGCTACCTAAGGTCCGGTCTAATTTTCTTCTTGATCTGCCTCCCTGCCTTGCTACCAGCTTCCCTGTGAGTCACTTCGCTGATCATATTTGCAGACCATACTAAAATGGGTTCAGTGGCCACAGCTGAGGAGCAGGTACTCCAGATCCAGAAGGATCTGGACAGACTATGGAAATGGGCAGGGGAAAGCAGGATGGCGTTCAGTGCGGATGAGTGCAAGGTCTTGCACTTGGGGCATAGGAATAAGGGTCATAAATACAGGTTAGGGGACAAGTGGCTGGAGAGCAGCACTTGTGAAAGGGACCTCGGAGTGCTGGTTGACTGCAGGCTGAACATGAGTCAGCGGTGTGATCCGGTGGCCAAGAGGGCGAACGCCACCCTTGGTTGCATAGCCAGAAGTGTGGCTTCTATATTGAGAGATATTACTGCCTCTCTAAACGACGCTGGTGCGCCCACAGCTGAAGTATTGTGTTCAGTTCTGGGCCCCTCATTACAAGAGAGATATAGCAAGGTTGGAATTGGTGCAGTGAAGGGCCGCTAGGATGGTGGCTGGATTGCAGCTGTATGAGGCGAGACTGAGGGGAATGGAGGAGACTCAGGGGGGATTTGTTGGTGACATACAGGTACGTGAGGGGGTGTCACACGGAGGTGGGTAGAGACCTGTTCTCCCCTGCAGAGGAAGGCAGGATGCGCTCCAACGGAGCCAAGCTCAGGGAACTAAGGATCCATTTGGATGCCAGGAGGCACTTCCTGACAGTTGGGACCCCGAGGGCGTGGAAGGGGCTTCCCCGGGAGGTGGCTGAGGCCCCATCGGTGCGGGTGTTCAAGCATAGGCTGGACAGGCACATGGTGGGCGTGTCGTGAGCGGAGCCGGCTGGAGCCCGGGGTCAGACTAGATGGCCCGGGAGGCCCCTTCTGACCCGCTCTGTTTCTTTTTCCCTTGGAACAGCAGAATGGGACGGCATGCTCCACCAAACCGTGGGAAGCAGGCTAGCTTGTGGGGTGTGGGTCACCTGTGGAATAGTGAGCACGGTCTTCCTCTCATTGCCTTCCAGCATCTCCTGCCTCTTTTGCAGTGCTTAATTGCAGTGCTGCCCTTGTGTGTGGAGTGAGGGGTGGAGAGAACCAGGGCGGGCCGGGGTGGGCTGGATACTTCGAGAGCTGCTATTAGCACCCACAAGAAGCAGATGCAGAAGAGCCATTTTACAAAAGGAAGGGATACTTCAAGGAGGATGCCCTCCCACTTGCGCTGGAGAAGAAGCACTTCAGCCATTTAAAACGGCGGAAACAGCAAAAGTCAAGAAACTGCCAAAGGAGGAAGCGTGTGGGGACACGGCCCCCTGGGGAACCCCAGTGAGTTGGATTCGGCCTGCAGTCCTGAGGTGGACATCCATGTTATAACGGCCAGAGTACTTGTGCTTTATAACAGCAGGATACTAAATCTCTCCTCCACCTGAACTACAACGCAGATGCTGCTGCTACTCTCAGTAATTCTAGGAGTATGAGCCTTAGATCAGCCATTTCTCTCCAACAGAAGAACATCTTTCTCCCAGTCTCCTGCAATTTATGTCGTCTCGTGTTCCTGGGAGGCAGAGGGTGGAGTACAGGGTATCGAAAATGATCGAGGGCTCAGTAAAAAGCAAGTGGGTTATGAGGGGCCTCAGGAGAACTGTCACTCAGTATTCCTGCCTGGCGCAACTTATGCACCAAGCTCTTTTCTTCCAAGCGCTGCTCTGGTGTGGACGTCCAGGAAGGGCTCGTGACCCTGACTTGGACAGGTGCCATCTTCATAGCGTCCAAACCACAACAGAACACCAGGAGAACTGCCGCAGTGACAGATCTGACGGCCAGGGACGTTGAAGCGACCCCACAACCTTGGAGTGGTGTGAGCAGTTCTTTGGCCATGAAGATTTCGAAGGGTGCTGGTGGGCCTAATAGAGGCAACTACCGCAGGAAACGCAGCAGTAACCCTGATGCTTGTTGACATGATTAGAAGGACAACACTGCAGCCAAAGATGCCGCTTCCATGGCCGTGAAACCCTTTGGCGTGCTGGCTGTGGCCTCAGGTGTGTCCAAGGCAGAGTCCTCCTCTTACCCTTGTGACCTGCTGGGGCTCCAAGAGTAAATTCCCAAAGTGTACACAGATGGAAATTTTGGTTCTGCTGAATGCAAGCCTAAGAACTACAAGATACTTTCTGTGCAACTGAAGACCAAAATCCTTTCAAAGTATGCCAGGTCAGCCTTCAGCAGAAGAGTCACTCTTTCCTTGCTACATTTAATAAACTACCGTCTGTGGTTTGAAGAACGGCACATCACGGAGAACAGTCGAACCTAGATTCCCCAGAAATGCTTTCCACATACAGGGAAATGTTTTTGCTATACAATGCTTTATTTCCCCCAGTTCCACTTATAATTCCACTTATCATCCAAAGAAGATTCTGCCACTTACTGTGCTAACTATTTAGAGTGGGCCAAGAAAATAATGCATAGCCATACATAGACAGCTCTGTTAACAAGCCATGAAGAGAACCCATGGCTTGTTGCCAGGTTGCGAACTGTGTGCTTCTCACCATGGCTGGTTTAGTTTGCTCGGTTGAGACGACACAACCCATGTTTCAGCAACACCCCATGGTTCAGTAACAACCCACAGTCCCAATATCATTTGAAGCCAGTTAGTGAAGTGTCTCTGGACATTGTTCTCTCGGGAAAACAAAGGAGGAGTGGATTCACACGACGCGAAAGCCATGATGGTTCCCTGCACTGGATAGTCCCTTGCACTATCTGACCATGGTCACGGTCTTTCAGTGTGGTATGTCTGGTTTTTAGAAATCATGACATGAAACAGTGGCCTGTTTAGGGTTTCCATCCTTCACCACAGTTTCTCTGATTGTATGAACCCAGCATCATGGTTTCCATGGTGCTTCTGGAGTCCCTTGCAAAGAGCAGCAGTTGCTCCAACTATATGTGCCAACAGTGGGGGAACTGAACCATCCGGGTGTATGGATGCCGCGTGCTGGATGCCGCGTGCTGTGCGTTGCCATTGTTGTGATTGATTTGTTTTTGGTTTTCTGTTTTTTGTAAGCCCTCCAGAGACTTTTAGTACTGGGACGGCATATCAAACGTTTCAATAAATAAATAAATATTAGCCCAGCAATCCAAAGTTCGGAAAATCTGCACATCAGTGTGAACCAAATGATTCTTCCTTAATCTCCCAAGAACACAGACCCCATGTGAGCAGATAGATCAGCAATCGCAGCATCATGTGCAAGGGGCCAGAAGGCCACCGGATCCAACCTCCTGCTCTGGCAGGGTGCCAGGTTATGCCATACTCACTACTGAGCGGAGTCATTGAGCTGATATTCCCGGGACCGGTTGAAACATTCTTGGAGACCAGAATCTGCCCAAAGCCTCATCATGGCCGAAAGCAGCTCTGCAGAGAAGGGCTCCGTATCTTCCATCCGACTGACAACATCACAGACCATCTTCGCATCAGCCTGGAGGGAGAAAGAGGAGGAATCCTGTGAGTTACATTTGCAAATTGCGAGAATGCACAAAGGGGAAAAATCTGTTTGTCTCCTCGTACATTTCCATTCCGAACAATGTTCCTGGTGAATTGCATTCATTTTGTGATGAGATTCACCCACTTTGGTCATTCCAGTTTTTAGATATTATTTCGTTTGGATTTTAGCAGAAAAACCAGGGCTCTCTGGTTACTTTGACATTTTCCATCCAAGTTGCACAGTATTTTCAGGAGTTCTGTTGCACCATCAAAAGTTTGCTCTGCCGAATTTCAGACAGCTGGGGGCTGCACCCTTCTCCAAGGAAGATAGTGCTTCTTCGGCACTGCTGCTTGACGTATTCGCAAGCATGACAGCAAAAGGAGAAAAGTGAACAGTGCCCCACCACATGTACCAGGGACTGCTTGCATGATGTGCGCACACACGAGATGCCTTTATACACAAGAAAGTGCACCTGTGCCTCTTTCCCGTGTCCCTGCAGATCACGCCATCGCTGTTCACATGTACACAACAAGCTCCCCGAGAGATTTGCCTGACACCAACATTATTCTCTTCCGGTGCCAGGCGAAAAAAGTTCTCTTTACCAGGCATTTTAACAACTGATTTTAACTAATTTAATGTTAATGGTGTATAGAGTTGTCCTTCCAACTCGCTATATCTATCATTTTAAATGGTCACTAGGACATTGCTAGTGGTCTTATTAGGGTGTTTGTTTTTAAGAATGGTGTTTTTGATTATGGTTGCAAGCCTCCCAGAGATTCCTGTTGGTGGCCCAGAAGCGCAAAAATAAATAAATGGTGCATGATGCACTGGGGTCATAGGAGGGATTGAGAAGGGCTTGTTGCAGGGCCTGCCTAAGGCCCATAAAAACCTTCCAGTGCTTCCAGGACAGAGTTGCTGAACCTCAGGCTCACAGGGCAAACGGGCCATGCTGACCACAGGCCCGTGTGTTCCCACCCACCCTCTGCAAGAAGCTGGGGGCAAAGGCTGAAGCCTTGATCCTGTAAACGCCGGTGCACCAGGCTGCCTCTGGGATGCAAAAGGGGAGCACTGCAGAAGGCCCTGTCCATAAACACAAGAGGAGTTAGAATAACAGCCACCAGGGGAAAGCAGCTTGATGCGAGGAAGTCGATCCCGAGCCAAAAGGACCTTCGGGGTGGTTCTTGCTGCCCATGGGCCGATTGTGGAGGACGCCTGACCACCTCGATGGATTGACCCTTTTCACCTGACTTCAAACGTTTGGACAGGACATGTGTTCCATCTCCATTTCTCTTGGGTTATCTCTTGGGCGACAGGCCAGGTATTCTCTTGGAAAACTGGGTATTCCTTGGCTCCTTTATAAGCCATCTAAGATCCATTCCACACCTGCACTGGCCCGAGCCAACCTGATTGCCATTTTAATCACGGAGCAAGATTCTCAAAGTACATCCCCAGTAGCTGTTTGGCCTTCCATCTCTCCCATTTATCTCCACCAGAGGTAGCCCCCCCCCCCTTCTGTCTTGTGGACAGAACTTTCTGTAGGCTACCTTAAAGAAAGGGCTCCTTCACTGAAAGTGACAGGAAGGGCATCAACAGACAGTGATAGTGTGGCAGAAAGAAATGCTACATGCAGATGTTCAAAGAGAATACAGCTAAAAAGTCAATCGCATCCTCAGTTTAGGACAAATACGGAGCTCGTGTGTCAAGACAGAGAAGTTATTTTTGTACCCAGCAAATCAGCAGAAAACCTCGTCTCCTCTCTCATGCACAAGTTTTGAGATTATCTGCTTTCCATGCTGCGAAAGTCCTTATGCAAGAGAACAAGACCGGGAAACGATCACAGGAAAGGAGATGGCAGGGTTGCATTTCTTGGGCAGATCTGGTTGCAAAAGAGGAAGGTCTCATCTCACCCGCCTTGGGAAAAATCTCGCGGCTTGCATCAGCAGGGGGCAACTGGTGGCCTTGCAGATGTTTTGGCCCACAGCTCCCATCTTCCTGCCCACTGGATATGCTGGCTGATGGGAGTTGCAGGCCCAAACATCTGGAGGAGCTAGTTGCTCCCCGAGTTAAACTACTCGAGCTTTTAAAAGGCGAGATTGAATAACAATAGTGCTTGTGAACACCTCGCAAAAGGGCAGAGGGCTGAGTCCTTCAGGACGCACATTTGTTAGCTGACTTAACGAGCAATTAACAGTCCAAGCAGAGACAGTGCCCCCTCCTTTCAGCACGCTCCAGGATTCGTCTCAAACTGTGAGTGACCTTAACATCTTTTTTCCCCCTCTGGGCCCAGCAGGTAAGATTTTGAACTGTGGCTTGACTAGATCTTTCTTCCTTTCTCTCCCTCCAGGCCGGCCTCACCCCCCCCACACCCGTGTGTCCCCCAGGCAGTGGGATTCGAACCCCCTGCCGTGCTTTGCCATCTGTGCCAAAGTTTGCAATTAAATAAAACAAAACAGACCCCCCCACCCCATCCAAGCTGCTCTCATCCCACTGGGATTTTGTTTAATGAACACCATGGTGGTATTTTAGGCAGGAGAGAGCTAAAAATACCCAAGTGGGCACTCAAGAGATGCCTAGAACAGGCACAAGAGCTGGGCTTTGCGGAACACTCTCCTAATGAGACTCCCTTTCCTTGCTCTTTCCCCTTTTGCTTTCTTTGCAAAAAAACACCTCCCTCGCTTATCTGCCGGCATCTTCTCCTGGCCGATAAGGACAAAGTGGCTCTTCACCGTCATGATGGACGACTGGCTAAGCGCTCAGCGGACTGGGAGCCGCAGGTCCCCACCGCCAGTTCCTGCTCACCTGGACGGGAAGGGCCCCTGAGAAAAGCAGGTATGTGGCCGCACCTGGCAGCTGCAGGAACTTGCCGGGACCCACGTGCCCCCACCGGACCTAATTATTTGCTAGTTTACTCATTAATTTTCACTAATTCTTAGCCACCTTTCGGGGCAGAGGTCTCCCCATGGACAACATCGCCCCATCTGCTCTCAGCTGCAGGTGGAACTGATGGGGAGTCTGCCCGCCATCTTGGATTTCTCACACTGGTCCAGATGCGGAGCTGTTCTCAGGCACAGGGGAAGCTCAAAGCAGAGGCAAACCCGCAGCCATGGAGGTGAGGCAATTGCGCTCGGTGGGTGGAAGACCATCATGATGCTTCTCCAGGGATCCCTTATCACCTGGAACCGCCTGTGGGTGGAGGAGGAGGGAAAGAGCAAGAGAAGGGAGAGGAAGCAAACAAAAGGAGAGCAGTATAGCACAGTGGTTAGAGCGCTGGGACGTCAGCTGGGAGGGGTCAGTTTTAGTCCCCGCTTGGCCACAAAGCTCACGGGGCAGTTGTGAAGATAAGCCAGAGAGTTGGAGGAGAATTACATAAGCCCCTTTGAGTTCCTGGAAGGAAAATGGCAGGATATAAATAGAGTGAATACATTTGATGATCAATCCACAAAGACTCCAGGTGTGCACCTCTTTCAGCAAGAGGGTCAAGCTCCATTTTGCATAGGCCAGCCATCTGTGCATCTCCAAAAGAGGGCACATGCATTGCCAGGCTAAGGACAAAAGAGGCCTGCTGATATGCATGCAATATGCATATGCTAATTATATGTATAGACACAGACTAAGAAAGTGTTTTTGCAACTTAAGTAGAACTACAGCTTATCTCCTCGGAGTGAGAAAGACAGCCTGTCTACTCTCTCTCCCAGCATCTGATTTATGTATGTATGTATTTATATCCTGCCTTTTTTTCTTCCCAGGAGTTCAAGATGTCTGATATAATTATCCTTCTCCTCTTATTCCCCACAACAACCCTGTGAGGTAGGCTGGGCTGAGAGTCCGTGACTGGCCCAAAGTTGCCCAGAGGGCTCCATGTCTGAGCAGGAACTAGAACCCGGATCACCTGAGTCCCAGTTGCATGCTGTTAACCACTACACCATACTGCCTCTTCACAACAGACCTGGACTAGACACCATTGCAAACAGAGTCCTCAAAAAGTGGACAATTTTGGCAGCCCCTCAGAGAAGCCCGTTTCTAGTGTGGGTACAGCCATGAGCAGATGGGGAGGCAGGCCAAACTCCCTGGCGGACACAAACACGAGCACATTTTAGCTGGAAGTGCTCACTGCCAGCGCTGAGACCTTCGGAGAGGAAGCTCGGCCTTTGCAATCAGAGGTAACAAAAGCGCAGGGGCTGGAAAAGCACCAGAGGCGCGTTGCTGGTTGCAAACAGGCTGTCTACCTGTTGACCCCGGGGAGAAGCCTCTCCATGACGGAGCACTTGACGAAAACAAACTGGCATCGCTTTAGGTGGCTGCTGGAGGACCTTATTTGAAACATGCCCATCCTAATAAAATGCATATCTAATTTACCCACTTTCATTCTTGAATTAGGCCATCCAACTCTTTCTATACCGCCATCTTTTCCTTCTTTCCTAAGGTCAAATTAGACATGATGCTAGAAATATGGGACTGACCCTTCCACCCCTTTTGGTTCAAACTAAAAGGCAGCTATGGAAATGCTTCCAATTTCAGCCGAGGGATGGGCTAAAAAGCCCAGGTGAAAAAGCTGAGATTTTGAGGGGAGAGGTAGGGAGAAGGGCTATAATATCCCCCTCAAAAGAACTGAAACAGTTTCTCCTGTTCTGCTGCCTCCAGTCATAACAACAGGGAGAGTGGTATTTTGCTCCAGACTTATTAAAGCAGTCTTTTCTGCACTGTTTTCCTGATCAAAATCACCCCTCCCTGGAGAAGTAGAAAAACTGAGATGAGATGGGAAGAAAGCCTCCACCTGACAGTTTGCAGCCCAAAAGGACTTGTATCTTGTAAGACGGGTGTGTTTACATAACTGTTAGGATGTGTTAATAACAAGGGATGAAAAGAGGGCAGGAATGTTCTGAGGGTGATTCCTTCCCAGGGCAGCCTCAGCCTACAGACGATGCCCAGGGCTCCGTCGTGCACTGGCAAATTTGCTGCGTTAATTACAGAGCTGAGCATGAGCCCCCAACTTC